CACTGAGTCAGGCGCGGACCTGAGCGAAGCCGCAGCAGCCCGCCCCCCCGCACGGCACGGCCCGGCCCGCGCCAGCCCTGCAGCCCGGCTGCCCAGCCCGCCTCCTGAGGCCGTGAGCACGCACCGCGAGTCGGATCCAAGCAGGGAAGAGCCCCACGTGGCCCACGGGCCAGAGCACCTGGGGACGGGCGGCGCCCGGGGTCACCAAGGCGGCAACCTGAGCCGCGGGGCGGAATTGCTGGGGAACCGCGGCCCTGCAGCAAGCACCCCGGGGGCGGGCCGGCTGCCGGCGGCCAGGAGTCTGCCCCAGACGCGCGTGCGGCACGCACGACAGCAAGGGCGGGCTGGAGTCCGGGGCCACGGCCGGCCACGGCAACCCTGCCGCAGGACAGGCCGCAGCTTCCCTTCCGCCTTCAGGACCTCACACTTGTCCCCCTCTGGGGCAATCCTAACTCAGCACCGTTCCGGGAAAAGGATTCTGGGAAATGTAGTTCCAGCCTAGCCGACCCCGCGGCCACCAGGGCAGCGGGCCTACTGCCCCGCCCTTCCGCTGTGCCCGCTCCCGACAGCTGGCGGCCTGACCGACTCTGGGCAGCTCTGTGCGGGCGCCGGCCGCGCCTGTGCCGACCCCAGTTCCTTTCGCTCCGGCAATTTCCAAGCTCAGGAGTCGGCCGCCGAAGCCACCCGAACCCCACCTTCCCAGCCTCCCTTGCAGCCAGGACGGGAGCATGTGACCTAGACTCAGCCAATCAAATTCGGCTCCGGCGGACCAGGCCGAGGACCTGGGTTTGCCCCGGGCAGAGGCCCTGCGGGTGGAAGCAGTGGCGTTCTGCAAAGTGCATTCTGCAAATCGCATTCTGCAAAGTGCATTCAGCAAAGTGCATTCTCAGGTGTGGGATCCAGCATAGCAAGGAGGCAGGAGGGACATGCCCAGTGTCCCTGGCGAGAGTTGCCATGTGTGGGCCTCGCGGCAGTGACAGGAAGGGCCTGCAGTGTAATTTGGCCATCGTTTGGGGCTGTGCACTCGCAGCTGGTCCTCCCGCCCAGGCACCTGTGAGCCCCGTAATACCCTTTAATAAATTCCTTTCTTGCCAGATTAGCTACAGTGGTGTTTGCAGCTGAAACCCCGACCCCCTTTCAATTCATGGAGGCCTCGAGTGTGCTTTCCAGCCGCATGAAGAGGGGAACCAGACCCACCCCCGTGGACAGTGGAGGGGAGTCAGGGAAAGAGGGGACCCCGGGAAGCATCTTGTAAACTGGCCGCCGTGCCGCAGACCTGGGGGCAGTGTCGTCTGATGGGTCAACGACCCTAATTTGGGAATTGGGTGGTTCGGTTTGAATCCTGGCTCTGGCGCCAACCTGTTGTGTGACCCTGGGCGAGTCATTTCCCTCGGCCTGCCCCCTGCGGTTATCATGAAGACCAAAAGATAACCGCATGGAAAACCCTCCGCACGGAGCTCGGCATAGGCGCTGAGCCCACCCGGGGACGCTGGGAGGAATGTGGTGGGTGACCCTTGTTCCCTGGAATTAGGTGTCCTGATGTGCCCTGATAGGGAAGCTGAAGTCTGCAAAAACATTTCTATGTTCAAAACACAACTCTGATTAATGCCACTGAATTGTACACTTACAAATGCCTAGGGGCGCCGGCGTGGCCCAGTGGTTGAGCCTTCAGCCCAGGGCGTGATCCCGGAGTCCGAGGATCGAGCCCCACATCGGGCTCCCCACTGGGAGCCGGCCTCTCTCTGCCTCTCTCTGCCTGTCTCTGCCTGTCTCTGCCTCTCATAAATAAGTAAAATCTTTTTTAAAAAATGGCTAAAAAGGCAAATTTTGTTATATATATATATTTTACTACAATTTTTTAAATTAATAATGTACTATACCAAAAATTGAATTACACTCTTCAAATGAGTAGACTGTATGGTATATGAATTATATCTCAATAAAGCTATTAAAAAAAAACAAACCCCACCTGGCTTCTCATCCATTTTGGATCCCAGGGAACACCCGGGGCCCCCCCACTCCCCCTCTCTGAGCCCATCAGCCCCGCCCCCACCTGGGATCCCTCTGTTGTGGCCTCACTGGCCTGCCTTTTCTTCCTGGAAGATGCCAGGTCCTGGCCTCCGGCCTTTTACATTTGTCCTTCCTTCTACTCGGAATGTTCTTCCAACCAGGTTAGTGGCACTCGGCTCTGGCTGCCCATTAGGATCAGCTGAGAAGCTTTAAATGACGGATGCGCAAACCCCACCTCGGAGAGCCGGATGACATCATTCCGGGAAAGCAGGTTGGGTCTCGGCATTTAGCGAATTTGTTACTTTACATCTTCCCAGGTGCCTCTAGGGTTCCCCCAGCACGAACCACGGCCGCCCTGGTCATCGGGGCTCGGGACGCCCTCCTCCGGGTTTCTGCTCAAAGGCCAGCTCCCCGGAGAGGCCGACCCCAGGCTCCCCATCTAGGCACCTGCCCTCCACGGGGCTTAGCCCCCTGCAGCACGTCGCCCCCCCCCCCCCGGGGACTGTATTCGAGGCATATGTGGCTGCTTCCCCGGGGGAATGTCACATGGATGAGGACAGAGGCCGCACTTGGTTTGTTCAGTGCTTACTTCAGACACAGAGCTCGGTCAGCACCTGCCACCTGAGCGAAGGGCTTTGGCCCACCTGTGTCCCCCGGGCCCGGCTCGGGCTCCGGCTCCGGGGCTGCAGTTCTGGGCGATGGCCGCCAGGTGGCGAGAGTGCCCGGTCGCGTTCCGGGTCGCCGCGGGTCCTGCCCCGCGCGGGGCGGTCGCCAAGATGGGGCGGGCACCGTGGCCGACCCCACTGCGTCCTCGGGCATCCGGAAATGCCCCGAGGCCCTGTCGGAAGAGGGGTGCTCCCCCTCGCGTCTGGCCACTCACAGACCCTCCGGTGCAGCCTTGGAGGACGCCCTGGGGCCCCTGGGGACAGCGCTTGGGGCGCAGGAGCCGTGCCCGGGAGGCTGGGACATGCACTGTCGTCTTGCCTCCCAAGGGAGAGAAGAGGCGCCTGCAAATGCACAGCCTGGGGGTGCGCGGGAGGGGGCCCGGGAGTGGGGGTGGGGGCACCGGGAGCACACCCAGGTCACCCCAAAGGCGATGCACGCACGTAGTCAAATAATAGTCAACATGTTTGGGACGCCTGGGTCGCTCAGGGACTAAGCGACTGCCTTCAGCTCAGGTCATGATCCTGGAATCCCAGGATCGAATCCCGCATCAGGTTCCCTGCAAGGAGCCTGCTTCTCCCTCTGCCTGTGTCTTGGCCTCTCTGTGTCTCTCATGAATAAATTCTTTTTAAAAAAAATATTTTTTAAAGCACCAATGTCTCTACCACTGAGTAAGCCACTTCCTCCTCTGGTGCTTCCTTCCCTGGGAGTCTGTAGCTGAGACCCCTGGGTGCAGGGTCAGGGTGCTGGGAGACCTCACCGGGAGGAAGGCTGAGGCTGCCCTGCTCAAACATCACCCCGGCTAGAAGCCTTGTGTCCTTGCAAGCCCTGGGGACACAGCGGTGAGCCGGACCGCCCATCCCCTTACCCAGCAACCCTGTGAGTGGGCCGCCCAAGAGGAAGTCACAACTGTGTAAGAACTTTGCTCAAGGATGTGAAAATTAGTAAGAGGCTGGGACAGAGAGCAACAGGGGAGGGCAGTGGCTGCTTCAGAAGTGACACCTGAAAGACCATCTAAGATGCCAGCCACAGAAAGGTATGCCAGGCCAAGGGCGCAGCAAGTGCAAGGGCCCGGGGGCCAGACGGGCTAGTTTGCAGCTGAAAAAACAGGGGGTGACACTGCCCTGCTCACAGCCTCAGCCTCGGCCCCTAAAGTGGGGCTGGGTCTTAACATGAGAAGGCAAGGCCCAGCGAACAGAAGCTGAAAATATTTTTTTAAAGATGTTATTTGTTCATGAGAGACAGAGAGAGAGAGAGAAAGAGAGAGAGAGACAGACAGGCAGAGGGAGAAGCAGGCTCCATGCAGGGAGCCCGAGGTGGGACTCGATCCCGGGACTCTAGGATCACGACCTGGGCTGGAGGCAGACTCAATAACTAAGCCACCCAGGCGTCCCTTTTTTTTTAAAGATTTTATTTTTGAAGATATTTTTAACTCAAAAATTAACAATGCCCAGCTAATTGGAAAAAGCATTCAATAGGAGTCTAATTAGAGTCTTTCACCAGCTTCATGGCCTGAAGCTAATTACTCCTTTGGGCCTGTTTCCACAAGAGCCCGACAGCTCACATTAGGGTGGCCCACACCCACCGGGTAAACGCCGTGCACCACGGACCACGGACGTCCAGGGGCCTCTCCACCTCTCAGCCACACCCCAGCTCATCAGGCATGTCAAGCTCACAGTGAATAATACCCCAGGGCCTTTGTGCCTGCTAGCCCCTGTCTGGGATGCTCACCCACTTCATCTCCCCACAGCCAGCTCTTCATTCGGGTCTCAGGTCAAACATCACCTCCTGAGATGCCCCAGCATGGTCCCAGGGAGAGTAGCCACCTTCACCCCTCAGTGTTATTTTAAAATATCCCCATTTTGTTCCTTCCCCAGCAGCGGTCAGCAAATGGCCTGCGGGCCAATCCAGCCCATCCCCTGCTTTTAGATGGCCCATAGGCTGGGCCATTTTTAAAATGGTTGGAAAAAATATATATATTATGATCCCTGAAAGTTAGATGACCAGGGTGTAGCCGAGCCGCGCTGAGGTCGGACACAGCCCACGCCACTCCTGTAAGCTTCAGGCCCCCACCCTGCCCACGGAAAGGCCGTCCCCTCCCCTCTCATTGTCTTGCGAAGATGAACCAGGATTTCCCTTCTGGTCGGCGTCCCTGTCAATAAATTCCAAGGAACTGGACTTCCCAGAAAAGGTGCCCAACTGGGAGCCCTAACTTATCATGTGTCCGCCACCCGTGGACACGTCCCTGACCTCCTCTGCTAGGTCACGCAGACCCGACCCGGCCATCCCGACCAAGCGGAAAACTGCAAATTTGAGGACGACCAAGCCATTTTTCCAAAAACAGTTTAATTAAAAAAAGGTGAAGAATCTGAAAAAATCGGGGGGAAGGGGCGGAACCCAAAAGAGCATACCGTGCGAGTCCACTGGCTCAGTCACAAAGAAACACCATCATCAAAAAAGATATTTAAGTTTAATACAAATTTTATACAAAGAAAATGTGAAAAAATACTTCCATATGCTAAAAGCAATTATGCTTCACAAATAAGGCCAGCTAGGCTATTTTTTTTTTTTTGACAACTGCAATTCACAAATGTTCTCTCTCTCTTTTTTTCTTCTAATACTCTTTGTGTAGTTCTTCTCTAATATGGGTAACTAGCTGGAAACTGTACACAGTTCGCATCCTCTTATCAACAATGAAGAGAAAGTAAACAGGACTAAAATGTACAACAAAATGTACTGGAATGATATCGTACAATTAATTTTCTCATATACATACATCACCTTTTGCTTTGTTCAATGCATTTTTTTTTTGTTTGTTTTACACAACATACAAAATGGTACTACAGTATACGTAGTGTAACGGACAGCGCGGCCGCTGTCTTGCTTCCTCTCACGCTGCCTTTTGTTTCATGCTTACATAAAAACGCAAAATCCCATCGTATAAATAATACATACATGCTTCATCCCAGACTCAAATGTCCTCTGCGTGCACCTTGCCTTTGAGTGCTTGCTTCCAAGAAGCACGGCATCGCTTACCAAGTATGTGTGAGTGTGTTTTAAAAGGAACCACAAAGCAAAGGAAAGACTTCTCTTTGTTTCAGAGCTTATGACTCAACGCTTTCTCCGTCCTCTCCGAGCGGGGCTTGTCTTCTGTCTTCTGTAAACAAGGACCTTATTCCCTTTTAGGAGTAGTCATCATTGAAATCACACAAAATAAACTAGCTGCCCCGGGGTGCCCTTCTGGGCCAGAGAGCTTGCGTTTTGTAACATAGGAACGTAGTATCTGAAAGGGGCCAATGGCTTGGTGTGATGTGCCCACAACAACACAGAATCTGTGCCAGAACTCCTGATCCCAATGTGCTGCGTACAGACGTCTGAATGCAAACGACTCGCTCCCCTCCCCTTCCCCATGGAGCAATCCAACGCCGAGGGCGGCTGTGCTACCACAACCCCAGGGCCCCGTCTCCACGCCTCGGTGACAGACGGGCTGACCGACCATCCCTCTTCCAACATCCAAACATTCTTTTCGTTGTTGGGTTTTTGTTTTGTTTTGTTTGTTTTTTTAATTGTTTTTCTTTTTCTTTTTCTTTTTTTATAAGTTAAAGTCAATACAAATATAAAAAGGAGAAGGTACTCTAGATTCAAGGACATCCACAAATTGTACATTATTTACAGCTAAAGCATAGGTTTCGTGTGGGTCAGAGTCCTCAGCTGATGCTAATGCCAGACGCTGTGTAGTGTAGGCTGCCCTCTGCGCCAAGGGCAAAGGCCAAGTCCGCGTGCCTGGAGCTCTGCAGTCGGAAGGGGGCTCTTCTGCCTCACGTTTCTTTACTGCTTCCTATTGCCCTGGTGTCTGGTTTTTTTTTCCTCCACGGGGTGGGTGGCTTGTGTCGTGACTTGTCCCTAGTCCCAGAAGGCGTCCAGCCGAGACTCTTTCGGGAGGAGACTCTTCGAACTGGAACTGGCGTTGTGCTCGGAGCGTGTGGATCCTCGCTTCTCGTCGCTGCCGCTCCAGCAACTAGACTTACTGCTCCGGGAATGGTCTGCAGGGGAAAAGCAACAGAAAGGGGTGTTGAGCACTCCGGCCACCTCCACCGAGGCAGAAGTGGCCCACCGCTGGGCCCGCACATGCAGCCTCCTATCTGGGCCGCCGCTCTGCCCTCCCGCTCCGGGCAGCAAGACCAGTGCCATCACCTACTCTGCTACATGTGAGGGTCTCCAGAGTACAAAGACAGAATGACTTAGCATTTTAGGATTCAACAGCCAATCAGAAAAACAGTAGGGTGTCACATGATGGAGAACCAAGCTGGGCGAGGAAGGTACAGAAGTGCCAAGGGAGGTACCTGGAACCATGTACCCGTGTGACACGACACAACGACACCGAACACCCCGGGCTCTTCTGCACCAGAGCCTGGCCTCTTTGAAAGAGGCACCAAAATTTGGCATTTGATTTACTGCCTTCTATCAGTGTTTTCTTTAATCAATTTATAGACAACTTGAAAACAGACCTATAACCAAACCACCTGCAGGAAAGGATGGTTACATCCAGCTGGAAATACAAGACTCACTGCCTCCTGGCAGGAGGACACCGAGAGGTCACTGAAGGACACAGAACTGGAGGTAAGACCCAGGACAGCTTCGAGGATGCGTGCACCACAAGAAGCTGAACAGCGGCTGAGGAAGACAGGAGGAAGTTCATGGAAGAGCCAAACAAGGGGTCTGTAAGCTGTCACGCAGCCCCGCGCAGGCGGGTGTGGCAGACAGACCCATCAGCACGCTGCCAAGACCCCATCACGCCCTGGATCATCTGCCAGGTTCAGAGCCTGGGATGAGCCTTTGTTTTAAATTTCTCGAGGTGGGATGATAGTATTTAACTGAAAGAAGCCAACAGCTGCCAAGCTCAGAGACAGAATGAGAGTGAGCAAGGAAGGGACCAGATCAGAACTGTGAGCTACTTCATCCACCTCCCCATTCTCCAGACCCAGGGACTCACAGGGGACTAGGGCTTTATGAACGTGCCTGTTAAACCATGAGCAGGGTCACTGGCCACAGCACGGCATGACAGGTGGGAGCTAAGGTGCACAAGGACCTAAAAGCAACTCTGTGAGCCATGGATTCTTAAGCATTTTGAAAGCACAATTCTCAGAACCACGAACTCTGACGACAGCCTGGCTCAACCAGGGGAAAACAGAGATGCCAGAAGCACAGTAGGGTGGAGAGCATCACCCAAGGGATTGGATTATTTCGGGGGAATCAGAACTCCTCTACCACCCAGGACGGGTGGGGCAGGGTGGACGAGGAACTTGCTGTGGTCAGGACTGAGGAAGGGGCTACAGACGAGGTACTGGGGAGCCAATGTCCTCAGCCACAATGACGGGACCCTAACAAACAACATCTGAAACCGAAGCATCAAAAATCAGTGACATTTAAAAAAAAAATCAGTGACATGGGGCCCCTGGGGGGCTCAGTTGGTTAAGCATATGCCTTTGGCTCAGGTCATGATCCCGGGGGCCTAAGATCGAGCTCCGCATACGGCTCCTTGCTCAGCAGGGTTCTGCTTCTCCTTCTCTCTCTCAAAGTAAGTAAATAAAATCTTTAAAAAAAAAAAAATCAATGATGGGCTACCTGGGTGGTTCAGTGGTTGTGTCTGCCTTTGGCTCAGGACATGATCCCAGGTCCTGGGATGAAGTCCCACATCGGGCTCCTTGCAGGGAGCCTGCTTCTCTCTCTGCCTCTGTCTCTGCCTCTCTCTGTGTGTCTCTCATGAATAAATAATTAAATTCTAAATATTTTAAAAATTAATAATATGAAAGGACTTTCAAAAACATAAGGGGTAACGGGTACAGTGAAGAGCTTAGTGCAGAAATAATTGCAAGTATGACAAAAGGACAAAACAGAAACTCCAGGAGAAGGTATGGCTCTTCCAGAATAGACACGTAATCCCTATACCCCACGAGCCTCGGTGATAAACGGCAAGCTCATGACGGCGGGCACCTGGCCTTAAGTTCTCCAGCTCGACCACTGGCCACTGCCCACTGGCCGACCAGACTACGGTTAGGGGCAGATACGCCTATTTTCAACCTTGAGGATGGGAGGTCACAGGGGAACGGGGGAGGGGGCAGGCGGGGACAGCATGAAGACATGACGACAGGGCTGGACACATCCAGAGGGGGGAGGGCGAGAGGGGCTACCGAGAGAGGGGGGCTACAGGAGGGGGGACAAGAGCCTCTAGCTGCCAGAACCACAACTAAAGAGTGAGCGTTGTATTCGACCCAGGGATCCCCAAGAGCACAGAACCAGTGACACAGGTCGTTTGGGAGGAGGGGAAGAGGAGAGCTGGACCAGCCCAACTCTCATCTTCTAAAGCCAGAAGCCAACAGCAATGTTGAGAACTACCATCCAGGAATAGAAGTACAGGGAAATAGGTTATTTGTATGTAAGGACGTACGTACCAGAGACATCAATGGGGACCAGGCCTAGGAACGGTCTCTCCCTGTACAATTTTATTTTCTCCTACTATATGCATGTTTAGCTTTAAAATCTCAAAACTACAAGACAGGCAAGCAGCAAGGAAGGGCATACCCCCTACTAGAGGCTTCCTGCCTCCACTGCCTCCTCCTCCCCCCCCTCCCAGCGCCAGGCACCCCCCCCCCCCAGCTCAGGAACCCCCATGGCTTCCAGTCCACTTCCCTCCACGAGATTTCACCCACACGGCCGCCAAGGGCAAGAGCGAGCAGAAGTCAACGAGATGTTCAAGGAACTTGAAGGGGCAGCGAACAAGCCAGTCTTTCTGCTTTCACACAACCACCCGCACAAACAGCCTTGTGAGAAATAGAGGAAGATGACAAGACACGAGTCTGCTGTCCTGACCAGGCCTCCAGGTCATGTCCCACTCGTGTCCCTCCCTCTCATGCTCTGGGATGTCGTGGCAACGCTGCCTAAAAACCCTCTTCTCCAGTTCCTGACAGTGAGCTCCGGGGTGCTGCATCCCTTTGCCACCATGCCTCCCGTCCAGCCTTGGCCCGAATCCTAAAGGCGGACACTTCCCAAGCGCAGCCCCGGGGGCACCCCTTTCTTTACCCAAGACCTGCAGAGAAGGTCCCTTCAACCCCATCTTTGGGAGACGCTCAAAACACCACCTAAATTTAAAATGTCCAGAATGATTCATGGCTTAGAGCTCAGAGGTGACCACGCAGAGACAGAAACCACACAGTGTGAGCGGAGGAGTGAGAGAGAAAGCGAGAGAGACAAGATGGAGCGACAACTCTTAGAGACACGTCTACCTGGGTTGAGGAAGGAGACAAGACAGGTTGTAGGTTGTCCTGTTCAATGTGGTAGCCGCTGGCTACACGGTGCTATTCAGATAAAGTAAAATAAGATGCTAAATTCTACTCCTCAGTCTCACTGGCCACAGGTCAAGGCTCCAACAGCCACATGTGCCAGCGGCTACCACAGGGGATAGTGCACGTAGAGATCACAATGCCATCACTGCAGAATGTTCCAGGGGTAGCTCCACTCTAGGGAGGAGATGCAGGGTGTCATGGAAGGAACTGAAGTATAGGAGGAGGAGGATATTTGAATGCCGTGGGAAGGGGGCACCTGGATGGCTCAGTCAGTTGGGCATCCGACTCTTGATTTCAGCTCAGGTCATGATCTCGGGGGTCATGAGATTGAGCCAGGCATCGGGCTCCATGCTCAGAAGGGAGTCTGCTTGGGGATTCTCTCTCTCTCGCTCTCTCTGCCCCTCCCCCTATTCACATGCTCTCAACTCTCAAATAGATCTTTTTAAATAGGTAGGTAGGTAGGTAGGTAGGTAGGTAGGTAGTAGGTAGATAACTGCCATGGGAAGGAAGCAGTTGAAAGTAAGACATCTGACTACGTCAGAGGACAGGGAGGGAACAGCTGGGGTGCTAGAAGGCCAGGCACTGCCGGGCTGTGCTACTCTGAAGGAACAGGCAATGCCATGTGCTGTGGGTCAGTGGTGGCCGAGGGACACCTGGGATGTTTGAAACAGAGCAGAGAACCCGGGAACAGAGGCTGCTAGGCAACCGATCTGGTAGGATGAGCAGACAGCTGAGGATAGCGGTCAGGGTAGGTGGGGACTGGAGGTATTGTGGGGGGGTGGAATGAGCGGGTCCCCCTGCACCACCTTCCCCAGCTGAGCTCTGATGCTTGTGTGCAGGTGAATACCAGATGCCCAGCTGGGGTTTACCAAGGTGGGGTTTTGCCAAACGGACATGCTGAGAAAACCGGAAGGCACGGAGGCCGGGTTACATGAGCAAGAAGGGTGCTGCTAGAATGAGCCATGGAGACGAAGCTGAGGAAGGAGAAAAGCATCAGTAGACCTGGAAGCAGGGTTGGAGGGGAGAGGTCACACGCACAGTGCTGACGCTCCCCAGACATCAGTGCCTTAGTAGCTGAGCCGTACAAAATTCCCAACATTCACCCATTTTTCACTGAAAATTTTCATACGAGTCAACCTAAGCATTCCCAGCACAGTGGGTGAGAGCATGTCTGGAGCCCGAGAACTCTGGACTGAAGTCCTGGCTCCAATAATTACTCACTGAGTGACTTGTGCATGTGAGTTAACTTCTCACAACCTCAACCTCTTCATCTGGAGAACAGGAATAGTAACTTCCCTCACAGAGGCTGGGAATAAACGCTCTAAGGCGTCCAACGGATTCATGCTCTTCTGTAAGCACCAAGTGCTCTTCTGACTTCCCCTGAAGCTCTATGAAGATGGAGGTTGTTTTGCTTTGTTCACCCCTAAATCCCCAGCCCTAGCACAGAACCCAGCCCCGGGGACACTCGACAAACTCTCATACACCTCCAACCATCTACAAATAGCCTACTGCTGTGAGCCCCCCCACCCCCCCAAGAATCTCAAGTGGAATTCAGGATCCTGCCCTCCTCCTACCCCGTCCTATCCCTATCACCAGGCTCCTCGGGGATTATATTCTCTGCCCCACCCACCCAGTACCAAGTCACCAGCATCTTCTGGAGCTTCTGGTCTCCTCTCTCCAATGTGAACTCTCATTCCCACCCACTTGGGACACCCATGTGCTTCCAGTCAAGGATCCGCCAACCACGGACCTCGGGCCAAATCCAACTCAATACCTGCATTTTATTTTATTTTTTAAGATTTTACGTATTAATTTATGAGAGATACACAGAGAGAAGCAGAGACACGGGCAGAGGGAGAAGCAGGCTCCCTGTAGGGAGCCCAATGTGGCACTTGATCCTGGGACCAGGATCACACTCCAAGCCAAAAGGCAGACACGCAACCACTGAGCCATCCAGGTGCCCCATGCCTGCATTTTCTGATACGGTTTTCTATTAGGGCACAGCCAGACTCATGGGTGACTCATGTGCCATATATATTATCTATGTTGACTTTCATCCTTCAACAGCAGAGTTGAACAGCTTTGACACAGATCACAGGGCCCACAAAGCCTAAAATATTCACTATTTGACCCTTTATGGAAAGTCAGCCAGATCCTGGGAGACGTCAGATAGGATCCTTATTACGTCAGATAGGATACATCCCCCAGCCACACTCCTGTACGCCGTCCTCCTCACTACAACAGAGTCAGGATGGCATTTAATGTCCGCCATGCAGAGCTGAACCCAGTTCATTGCTCCAAAACCTCAACAGCGCTCCCTGTCTGAAACGGGGCTTCCCCACCCTGGGTCTTCTGCGCCTTTGCAATTCTGACCCATCCACAATCCTCCCAACATCTTGCTTATTATTCCATGTTTTTATTTTAAACTTGTTCTAAATATTTAAAAAAAAAAAATCCAAATTTCCTATCACTACCTATATCGCTAACAGAAAATCAACAAAACGTGTCCCAGATCGAAGGGACTCTACAAATAAACACAATGAAAACCAAATGGTAGTTTTAACGTCTCAGGAGAGACTTGGTCTGCTCTGTCTTTGGTAAAAGAAACTAGGAAATATCAGAGAGGTGCGGAAGGCATCACAGCACTAAACGGAATCGTTCTCGGGGAGTCTATCAGAAAACTGGAGGGAAGGTAGCGGAAGACTACTCTTTGAACAGGTGGTTCAATCGTGTTTCATCTGAAGCTCACCGTCTCCCTAAAGTTACCCATTCCCTCAACCTGAAGCCCACCCTCTAGGAAACCCCTAGTTCCTAGTGGGGTTTCCCCACTAGGAAACCTTCTCCAGCTACCGCTGCTAACAACAGACATCATTTCCTCCTCCTTTCCGTGCAATGAACACACAGAAGGGAAGGAACACATTTGGTTTTCAGCAGAAGAGAACCATCCAGCAGACAGAAAGATCCTGGAGCTAAGGGACCCTGAATTAAGCACATCGTCCTCAACAGGGGCACCTTCTGAGAACCCTCTGGAATCACCCACAACTAGTTTAGGAGGAGGCAGGGAAATGACCCTTTGGGCTAGAGGACAGCCCAAACCCCCACAGAGGAGAGAAACTAAAAAGCGTAGTCCCAGAAAATACCCAAAAACTGCCTACCAGGTTATTCCCCAAGAGGAAAGATTTCTACAGAAGACTGTCAACCTAAAATTTTCTTTTCTCTAAAGCCTCAAGGGCCCACACCTACTAGATGTGGGCGTTGGGACCTCAGGAATAGAGTTCCAGATGGTTTTGCTCACTGTGGTCACTTCCCTGAGGACAGAACTGCCCCACCTAAAATGCGCACCTTCTACCCCACCCCAGGTCAGCAAAAGAACCCTCCTTTCACATGAACTTTTAGGTGGGTAAAGCAACATGGGTAAAGACTGATCAGTTTGGAGAGGTGCCTGAAAGCTGCCTTGCCCAGCCACTCCCTCAACCCCCCAATGACCTGCCCGGGGCACCCCCAAAGATCCCTAAGGATCCGCAGTGGTTGGAAAACCACTGCCATAAACCCTTAAAAGTTCTCCCTGAGAAGATGGCTTCCCCTCTGCCCATGAGGAATGTGAGAGCGGTGTTCACCCACCGGGGGCAACATACCAGAGCCTTGGTTGGAGCCTAAGAGAATGGAGGAGGGCGTCTCCCTGGAGCCAGAAAGGTCGAGGGTCTAAAAATACAAAAAGAGAGAGATGGACACAAGGCACGGGGGCCAATGTCGCCCCCCAGGGAAGCCTAGGGATCCATGGGGGTGCTCGTCACTGCCCCCCAGGCACCTCGATGCCCCGTGCCTGGTGTGCCCGGCAGGGGAGGCCAGGTCAGCTGGGGTGGCCCTACATCTGTGCTCTCCTGCACTCCATACCCCGAATGAACAGGCTGGGACATGGTAACGGGGCAGCCCAACTCAACTCGATAGCCTTGGCTTCTAGAACACGGACTGTTTCCTCTGCTTCCTTCCCTGACCTGCCTACCCTTCCAAATTTGTGCCCACTACCAAAAAGGAGGTTTATGTCGTCAAAAAAGGCTATTAGCTCACGTTTATTGCACATTAGCCCCTTCCTTACCAGGCAATGTTATCCATGAAATCGAAGGGTTCTGATGACATAGGGACTTACTACTTTCCTAATACACATTGAAATAAATACGTATTGACTACAAATGTAAAATGTTATCAATGTGCCACCGAAAATTACTTATGTGTACAATCCATGCTACATATACCACACACTGGGAACTAGGACGTGCAACCTGGGCTTTCCAGTATGGCAGCTACTAGCTTCATGTGACTATTTGCACTTAAATTAATTAAAATTAAATAAAATTTAAAGGGCGAGTGCTTGCTCACACTAGCCAGGGGTCAAGCGCTCAACAGCCACATGTGGCCAGCGGATACCACCCTGGGCAGAAAAGACACAGAACATTTCCATCATCCACGGAAGGTTCTACTGGACACCACCATTGTAAACTTTGAGAGTCCCCGCAGAGCGGCTGCCAAGTCACACGAATGTCCCCTCGGGCTCCACATCCTTCTGTCCGGGCCCGCATGCCCACTGGTGAAAAGAAGCTCTGCTAAGCCTGTCACCCCCCCGCAGAAGTCTGACTGCCCCACCGTGAAGACAAACCTCCTACCAGATGGGACTTGCAGAGGTGGCAGGCACAGGGATGGGTCCGGAGACTCCTCCTGGCCCAAAGTGTTGATGTCACTGGCCAAAGGCGAGCTGCTACTCACCGACCCGCTGTCTTTGCTCTTCTCCGCTGATGACTCCTTATCTTTGGAGGTGCTGGCTGTTTCCGTAGGGGCTGCCTGTGTGCTGGAAGAGCTCCCCTGGGATGATTTGTTTAGTGTTTCTGTATTCACCTCGGCATCTGCTTCCTGCTGAGGAGCGGTAGCTGGGGGAAAAGGAAGAGAGAAGCCATGTTATAAGCTGAGGGCCATGGCTTCTAGAACGGAAGGAAACCCCACTCTGCACACGGCCATGGCATGGTCCAGAACAACTCTGACCCACCCACCACCCATAACAGAGGCAACTGCTGCTCACTCCCTCCCAGGGTTTTTTGCACTTTTTCAGAAGCTGAAATTCCAGACTGTGGGTAAAAGGATATTAATTTTTAATAGTTCATTAATTCAAGTTTTATTAAGTCATTCTGGAGACAAAAAGCATGGCAGCAGAACAAATGAAACCCATCAGCACAGCCAGCCTGTAACCACTCAGCTAGGACCACTCATTCCATAATTTCTAATTTTACACCTATTTATATTATCCCATGGACTGGCTTCCTTCTAAAGGAAGGCAGGGAAATCCAGGTGAAAAAACGACAGGATGTGAAAGGCAGAGGGTATCTGGAGATGGTAGGAGCATGGGCAAACTGAAAAACGGAGCATCTGAGAGGAACCATTTCAGAAAGACAGACATTAGAATGCCACAAATAAAGAAAACCTTAAAGGACATTTTAGCCATCTTGTAATAGTAACAACAAAAGGGTCATCACACACATTCCAGAATTTAGGAGAATTTAACTCCACTGCAGGAAGAGATATAATGTAGCCATTAAGAAGACATCTCTCAAGGACCTGGGTGGCTCAGTGGTTGAGCATCTGCCTTTGGCTCGAGGCATGATCCCGGGATCCTGGGACTGGGTCCCGCATCGGGCTCCCCATAGGGAGCCTGCTTCTCCCTCTGCCTATGTCTCTGCCTCTTTCATGAATAAATAAATAAAATCTTTAAAAAAAGGGGGGGGGGGCATCTCCCTAAAGGTTGAAAGATATAGCAACATGTTTCAATATTGCCTTTCTAAAATAACAAAACAATAGAAGATGTCTAGAGCAGGGGTTGGCATACTAGCGCCAACTATTTGTCAATAAAGTTTTATCAGAACACACCCATGTCCACCACTTACATATTGTCTATGACTGCTTTATTCAAAAATCAGCACAGCAGAGCAGTTGCAACAAACCACATAGCCTACAAATCCTAAAATATTTACTCTGTGGACCTTCATGGAAAACTAATTTGCTAACCCCGGACCTCAGGAGCATTCCTCAGTCGTGGCCACTCATATATCACCTTCCAAAAGTTTGCCAGTCTAACAGATACACTACCTTATTATTTAGGTAATTTTTAATTAAATAAGTACATTAAAACAGAGGCTTTTTTGAAGCACCTGGGTGGCTCAGTTAAGAGTTCAGTTCAACTCCTTTTTTTTTTCCCCAAGATTTCCTTCATTTATTTGAGAGTGAAAGAGCAAGAGAGCACAAGCAAGGGGAGAGGTAGAGAGAGAAGGAGAAGCAGACTCTCTGCTGAGCAGAGAGCCCAAGGCAGGACTCGATCCCAGGACCCTGAGATCATGACCTAAACCAAAGGGAGACACTCAACCAACCAAACCACCCGGGTGCCAAAAGGATCCAACTTTTGATTTCGACTCAGGTCAGGCTCTCAGGGTCATGAGATCAAATCCTGAGTTGGACTCTGTGCTGAACAGTGCCTACTTAAGATTCTCCCTCTGCCCCTTCCCCGGGTTGCACTCTCTCTCTCTAAAAAAGGAGGCGTTTAATTCTAGGCATATTAAAAGAAATAAAAACTAACTTTAAAAATATTTGGTTAAATATTTTTAACCAAACATTAAATGAAAAGTTAAGTAAAAATTAACTTTTAAAATATTGCGAATAAATTCTAGCTAGACACTGTGTCCTGCTGGAGGCTCCTGGCCTCCGGGCTGCTCGTTCTGTGTTAGAAAGAGATGACAAAGATTAGTTCTAAACCCAAGACTTAAAAAAAATAAATAAATAAAATAAACCCAAGACTTTTCCTTCACATAAGAATTGGGAATCCTGGGGATCCCTGGGTAGCTCAGCAGTTTGGCGCCTGCCTTCAGCCCAGGGGAATCCCAGGATTGAGTCCCATGTCGGGCCCCCGGCATGGAATCTGCTTCTCCCTCTGCCTGTGTGTCTGCCTCTCTCTCTCTCTCAGTCTCTCATGAATAAATAAATAAAATCTTAAAAAATATATAAAAGAATTGGGAATCCACAGGACACCTGGGTGGCTCAGTGGTTGAGTGCCTGCCTTGGACCCAGGACATGACCCTGGGTTCCTGGGATCGAGTCCCACATCGGGCTCCCTGCAGGAAGCCTTCTCTCTCTGCCTCTCTCATGAATAAATAAGTACAATCTCTAAAAAAAAAAAAGAAGAAGAAGAAGAAGAAGAAGAAGAATCAGGAATCCATGTTACTTAAAGCTATGAGTCCACAATTACTTTAAAAGCAGGATTTCTCAACCTCACCATCTTGGGCCAGGATCATTCTTCGTTGTAGGGCACGGAGTTGGGCACTATAGGGTGTTTGGCAGCATCCCTGGCCTCTACCCTCTGGATGTGAGTAGTACCCACCTCGGTTAGGATGACCACAACTGTCTGCAGTCACTGCCGGTGTCTTGGGGTGGGGATCACAGTCACCCCATTGAGAACCACTGCACCTCACATGAAGCTACACTCTGGCAAGTAACAGAAAGGAGGCCTGAAGTTCAAACAGCCATGCCTCAAGGATCAGCTATGTGCCTGCACGAGAGTGGCAAGGGGCAGGGTGAACCAGCCTTGCCGCATCAGTCTGCTCTGTGTGCCCTGCACGGGATGGGGGAGGCGAACGCCCACCCCCCTGTGGCCTGGGCCAGGGTGCACCTCGCGTGGCCATACCTGACTGGGTGCAGGACTTCATATGCTCGGGCCAGTGGGCTTGCTGGCAGGGGTAGTCACAGTAGCTGGTGTTCCAACAGCAGTAGAAAATGGCCTCCTTCTTACAGTTGGCACACCACTGCTTCTTTTTGGTCTCGTCCACCGCCTGCTGCTTCTCCAGCTCCAGCTGCTTCTTCACCTCAGCGATGAGCCGGTCCCGCTCCTGCTCCAGGCTTTGCCGCATCTCTGCCATGGTCAGCTCTGACACAGAAGGGGAGAGGACGCCAGCTCCATCAGCAGCACCCCCAACCCAGGGCTCAGAGTTTCTCAGACCAGATCAGAAAGGAAGTCCAGGATATGGGTTCCGAGAGACACGGGTGCAGATCCTGACTCAGAGAAGCCTCAGCTGTGTGACTGCCCCCCACCCCCCAGGCGAGTAACCCAGCCCGGCTAAGCCCCAGTATCTGCATCTGTGTAAAATAAGCATTCATCACGTTGATCTGTGCGTGATAGTGAATTCAGGTGCCTAGTATGCAGACAACCAGAATCCCATGGTGATTCTGTGGGAAATCCTCAAATATACCTTCAAAGCCACCCCGTATCAACTCACTTCATCTTCCTACTAAGCCTGTGAGACAAGCTCTCCTTGCTTTTGTACTTGTGCTAGACACAACCTCTCTGTCCCTTGCCACTGCCTTTAAAGAGGAGCGTGCAGAACATGGCAAGTTCTGGCCAGCCTTCATGCATTTTTTTTTTTAAGATTTTATTTACTTATTCATGAGAGACACAGAGAGGCAGAGACACACACAGGCAGAGGGGGAAGCAGGTTCCATGTAGGGAACCCCATGTGGGACTTGATCTTCGTACTCCGGGATCACGCCCTGAGTGGAAGGCAGACACTCCACCTCTGAGAGCTAATTATTTAAAAATGGAGAGATCTGGGGCGCTTGGGTGGCCCAGGTGGGTAAGCATCTGCCTTCAGTTCAGGTCATCATCTCAGGGTCCTCGGATCAAGTCCCTGCATCAGGCTCACTGCTCAGCAAGGATTCTGCTTCTCCCTCTGCCTTTGTGAGCACATTCTCTCGCTCTCTCTCTCTCTCAAATAAAATGTCTTAAAACAATAAAAAATACATAAAAAATAAAAATGAAGAGATTCTGGAAAAAAAAAAACAAGATTCCTTGACTTCACTAGAGAAACTATAGAAAAACTAGAAGCCACACACCAACTAAACCTCCTACATGACAACACACTCAGGAGCAGAGGGCTCCTTCCCCAGGTGGCATCATAAGGATTCGAGTTTGCGATGCATGCCTCAGCTGCAAGCAGGTGGCACGCCTGGGCATGCCGCCCTAACAAGGAGACCTGACGGCTGCCAGCATTCAGACTCTGAGCCTGACACTCCATGATGGTCTGAAGGAAAATGCTGTACTTTGCGGGGGGAAAGCCTTTAACGACGGACACAGAATGGCAGGCCAAAACAGCACTAGGTCTAAACCAGGGAGCAATGAAACAGCTTCCTCCGCAACGTGGAACACGCAGGAGGTGTCTGATAATTCGCAATGCCTCATATTCAACGGGTAGGAGTGTCCAGACCTGAATCGCTGCTGTGTGACTCTAACAAACTTGCTCAACATGTCTGTGTCTTGCTAGCTTCACCTGAACACTGGAATAACAGAGCCCCTTCTAAGAAGGGTTTTCATGAGAATTTAAAGGTATTCTCACGGAAAAGTACTTAAAACAGTCCCTGGCACAAAATCAGAGTTCAGTAAACAGGAGCTACTGGTGCTATTGCTGTTACTGTTTTGCTGATGTTGGTATTTTGAAGGGAAAATAGGAAGGTACCCCCCCCAACACCCACTCTTATACGTGGTTCGACTCTTCAGGATTCTACGGCTGCCCCAGCAGTGGGACATCCACAAGCCTACTTCGGACTCAATCCACATCCTGGTCCTGCCTCCAGGTGTGCAAAGACGTTCAACACCCAAAACCCTCCTCCATATAGACCAATTTGCCAGGCCTCACCCAGGTTGTGTTTCATTTCCGAGAGCTCCTGCTGGTGTAGCCACTGCAGCTTCTCTATCTCGATCCTCAGCCTGCGAATCTGTAATGAGGGAGAGTAAGACTCTTAGAAGGCATGTCTGGGTCGGGTTCACCGATGGGGCTCAGAACTCGACCTCCAGCTGTAAGAATCAATGCCACACGGTTGACTGAGGCATAAGCAGCCTGGATGCTGCAGTCCAGAGAGGTGGACACCAGTGCACTACCCCAAATTCAAGAGAAGTTCTATTTCCAAAAACCAAACACAGTTGATCCATGAATAATGAGGCGGGTTAGAGGCGCCAGCACCCCCTCGCAGTAAAAAATCTACATACAATTTTTGACTCTCTAAAAACTTAATAGCCTACTACTAACAGCCTAGGAAGCCTTATCAAAAACATCAAATAGCTGATAAACATATATGTTCCATGTATTAGATAGTGTATCTGTACAATTAGGTAAGCTCAAGAAAAGAAAACGTTAAGACCATCACACAGAGAAAATGCATTTTACAGTACTGTAGAAGATCCACGTATAATGGATGAGCACAGTTCAAACCAATTTTTCAAGGGTCAGCAAAACCAGCTGTCCATCTTTTCCAAGGAACACTGGCTCTAGGAAAAGCCACTTGCTCAGTTGCTAGAGCATGGCGACTCTTGATCCAGAGTTGAGTTCAAACCCCACCCTGGGAAGAGGGTTTATTCTTTTTTTTTTAAAGATTTTATTCATTCATTCATTCATTCATTCATGAGACAGAGAGAAAGAGAGAGAGGCAGAGACCGAGGCAGAGGAAGAAGCAGGCTCCATGCAAGAAGCCCAATTCAGGACTCGATCCCAGATCCTGGGATCACGCCCTGAGCCAAAGGCAGACGGTCAACCACCGAGCCACCCAGGCATCCCAAAATCACTGTTGCATATTCTTTTTTATTTTTATCATCTTTATTTTTCTTTTATTTTTTTTAAGATTTTATTTATTTATTCATGACCGACACAAAGAGAGAGATTGGCAGAGACAAATGCAGAAGGAGAAGCAGGCTCCACACAGGGAGCCTGACGTGGGACTTGATCTCGGGTCTCCAGGATCACACCTCGGGCTAAAGGCAACGCCAAACCACTGGGCCACCGGGGCAGCCCTGCGCAGAGGGTTTAAACATGAATGAATGAATAAATAAAGTAAAAACAAGGACCAGATTTTCATAATAAATAAAAACATCAAAGGTTTGATTAGAGCGACGCCTGGGTGGCTCAGTGGTTGAGCGCCTGCCTACCTTTGGCTCAGGTCGTGATCCAGGGGTCATGGGATCGAGTCCCACATCGGGCTCCCAGCAAGGAGCCTGCTTCTCCCTCTGCCTGTGTCTCTGCCACTCTGTGTCTCTCATGAATAAATAAATAAAATTTTAAAGGCGGGGGGGAAGGGGTTGATTAGAACTCTGGTCTTAAAAAATGAAACTAAAACAAGTAAAGACAGCTTTGTTTTATTCATGTAACATTTTAGGTGGGATCCACAGGCATTCACCTAAAATTCTGGAAACCAAAGGGTATTTTTGGAGGGAGGGGTATGTGTTGCACAAAATTCATTTGGGCAGGAAAAAATAAACTCAGCCTGAACTGCTATGGGGCTATTTACAGAGTCTGAGGACCACAGTCCTTCTCTACTTGTGATTTTGCCCTCCCAGCTCCCTTCTGGACACTGCAACATCTGAAGATATCCACTTAGTCACACTGGAGGGTGCTACCGCCAAGAGAAGGTAGAACCCAGGGATGCTGCTAAACATCCCACAATGGGCAGGCCAGCCCCCATAACAGAGAGTTATCTGGCACAAACGTCAGCAGTGCTGAGGTTGAGAAACCCTGATTTATCCCACATGGCGTGAACAAGCATATTTCACAGAAATGTTGGGGCGGAGAGGGCATATATTGCCTCTTTAAATTCTGAAAAATTCTAGCACACATCTGGATCCCAAGGTTTTAAGGGAGACATTTATGGATCTGTATTTTCAACCATATGCCAGTTCTTAAAAAAATAACGAAGTATGGCAGGGGTCAGGGGAGGCTGTTCTAAGCCAAGATTGTCCCTTCTCGTTGGACATCCTTGGCCTAATCATAAAGAGGGTCACATGAGCAAAATATCCCAGGGGACTCCTTGATTCCTCTCAGGACCTCTCTCAAAGCTTTATATTCACATCGTTCTCTGCTGAAAGCCTATTGGGATACCTTCCCAGAGATTTTTCTCCTCTTCTGAGTGTCAGCCTCACCCTGCCAGGCCCTCGTAGGCCCACAGATTGAATGGAATTTCCCTGTCTGCAACACTATTTTCAATGACCTCAAAAAATCCCACCACTAGTCATTTCACCTGGTGACCCCTCTGCATCTGGCTTACAGTGAATTCGCCTAAGGAAGGAAGGTCAAGGAGGCCTATTTTTATAAATGGTCACTTGATAAGTGGACAATTTAATGTCCTAACCATTCTATTCCCTAGGTAACCGCATAATTGTGGCGGCTCTCTGTACATAGTCTTAGACAACAAAGATCACTTGCATAAGAAAGTCCATGCTTACACAGAGCCAGGAGACAATTATACACGGGGCCAAAGGAGCGGAAGGATCTCCCATTTCACCAGGGGGTGAACTCACGCTCCAGTTTGGTGCTTGTCCTCTGATCACACAAAGCAGGGTGCATCCCCACAGAGCCAGCCTTCTGACTAAATGAAGAAGTACACTCCCCAACAACCACAATTGGCAGAGCCCCCTGGAGGGACTTCCAGAGAAGCTGCTTCCTGGCACCATTTTACAGCAGCCCATAAAACATTCTTAGCAAGTGAAGAATTACATGTCATCTCTGACCTCGGCTATTGTGCTTCCGGTAGTGTTTTTAGAAAGATCGTTGTATATCTCTGTCATCGTCCCTTTTATTGCATCCATCATCTGAAAGATAAAAACAGAAACAATTCAGGTGATCATCTCCCTGGGGCTTTTCAAGATGACATACATCTAAAAATCTATCTAACATACAGCAGTGGTTCTCAACAGGGGGCGATCTGCCCCTCATGGGACAGGAGGCATCTGTGGTTGTCATGGCAGGGCGGGGTGGGGGGGTGGGGGGATTGGCATCTAGTGGGTTGGGGCCAAGGATGAGCTAAATACCCTACAGTGCACAGAACAAAGAATCCTCCAGTCCAGTGTCACTAGTCCTAAGGTTGAAAAACTGGTATAAACCAGGGCAGTCATGAATCACCTACAAAATAAAGCTAGTTTCTAGAGGCAACGGCTAATCTGGAGGGGCCAAATTTGGGCCCCAGGCATATTTGGTGTGGCCAGCACTGAGGATTTGAGGGAGGGACTGTTTCCTCTTGTGACTGTTTCTTAATTCCTTACCACTTTAAAAAAAAAAGAAAAAAAAGTTTTATTGAGATCTCATTCATATACCAATTCAGCCGTTACAGTGCACAAGTCAATAGCTTCTAGTAGATTCAGAGGTGCACATCCATCCCCATGGTTCAGAACCTTCATGTCACCCCAAAAAGAAAACCCACTACCCCTCTTAAGAGCCCTATAACCCCCCATACCCCTGACACCATCCCACCGCTGATCTGCTTTCTATACCTAAGGATTTGCTTCCTCTAGATATTTTGTGTCTATGGAATCACATAATATGTGGTCCTTCTTCAACTTAGCACAAAATTTTCAAGATTTATCTGTGTCGCAGGGCCTCTAAGTATTTCATTCCTTCTTATGGACAAATAATACAGCCTGTTGTGTGGACAGAGCAGGTTCATTATCTGAAGGCTTTGGTCAGGGCATCCATTCTCTGCCTTGCCAGTCGGCTTCCCATCTTCCTTCACTTTCATTATCTGAAGCTGGGAGGCATCAGTGAGTTTGTGACATGGGCTCAGGTTCAGGTAGCAAGCACCTAGTTCCCTGCTGTCTGAAGGTATCTGCAGGAGGATTTCTTTCCAACCTCCCACTTGCTGGCTGATCCCGCCCCCATCCCAAGAGAGAGAGGGGAGGACAGAAGACCGAACGTGAGGCCTCAGGCCTGGCCTGGCTGCAGCCAAGTCTCCACTGTGTTTTGCAGTTTGCTCCGATCCAGCAAGAAAGCAAAACCCAGACCACCCTTATATCTGATGCCTGTGATTTGCTCCTGCCATCACCCTCTCCCTGAGCCATGGGGGTAACTACAGTGTCCCCATCTAGGGTATGCACAAGGTTTACATGAGAAATCCATGTGAAGACTATGATATGGTTCAGTACCTGCCACAGAGTAGGTGTTCAGAAAGAAATACCTGTTCATCTTATTTCTATAGAAAAACAAAAAATTCACATGAGCTATAATGAAGAAACTGCCAACCCCCAAAATAGTAACCCCAAGTTCACCCCAAAATGGGAGAAAAATGAACACGATGTCTGTTGAGATTTTCACTGCTAGCTTGTTTCGGAGGCCACACACAGATGCAGCCAGGAAAAACACTTTGTGCTTTATGCAGTCGTTCTGTTTGGGCCTCCTGCCCCGCTGCACCAAACACGTCAGTTTTAAATATTAAAACTAAATTGCTTTACAAGAAAACTTTAGAAAGTGGATGAAATTCAATATATTACTAATGCAATGGTTACATTCCATTTTAAAGAAATCATGGATTTGTGGACAGATTTTCACTCTTTCTTCCAAATATAGCAAAGAACGCAACATCACTAAAGAGCACCCTTCTGCCAAAACACACAAATCTGGGTCTTCGACTCCAGGTCACCTCAGAGGCAGGGAAGTTCATCAGCTCTGAAAATATGTCACTGTGTTCATTTTCTTAACTGCAAAGAAAATGTCTATCAAAAAGTTCACCCCTCAATTTTGCTGTAAGAGCAAAGGGGGCCGCCAAAGGTAATGAAATCAAACTCACTGCAGGAGCTCAGAAAACTAGCTCAGTGCAAACCACGAGCCAGGTCCACTCAGTAGGTCTGTTTCTCCATCTATAAACGAGGAGCTTAGACACCCCCGCCAAAAAAAATCACTAGAAAGTAGTCTAAGGCTAGACAGCCAGAACACGAGACCATTTAGGCAAAACCAAACACCACCTTAAATCAGTAATGAAAAAATGAACGCCTTCCTATTCTCCTGTAATCCTGCATATCACCACATTAGGAAGAAAGTCTCCGTTTGGTGCCAGCATGTACCAAACACTTTTAGGACAATCTCTCTAAAAATAGGCTTACACTTCAAGCCTTGACAAGGAATGGTGATCTGGCAATGTTAGACCCAATTTTATTTTAGTTTCTTAACTTAGTCAATTTAAATAAAATTAACTTACATAAAAATATTAAATCAATACTAGCTGGTGGACAGTTAAGACTAGAATCGAGAATGGCCATAAATGTGCCTTGAATCCTTCCTATTCTGACACTCAGGGACTCTGTAACAATTCATGTATTTTATTCAAAAGGAGGACAGATGGGGATCCCTGGGTGGTGCAGCGGTTTAGCGCCTGCCTTTGGCCCAGGGCGCGATCCTGGAGACCCGGGATCGAATCCCACATCGGGCTCCCGGTGCATGGAGTCTGCTTCTCCCTCTGCCTGTGTCTCTGCCTCTCTCTCTCTCTCTCTGTGTGTGACTGTCATAAATAAATAAAAATTAAAAAATATATATATTTAAAAAAAAAAAAAAAGGAGGACAGACTTACTAAATGAGAGACAAAGTTATGCCCAAGACCAGTTCTGATTCTCTCTCTAGCTGGGGAGGGCAGGAAGGAAGGGGTGGGAGAGTAGGGGAGGGGAAGGGGATTGGCAGGACTTGGGAATGTCAGGTAGGGTTGCTTTAAAAAGCCACGTGCAAGAACAATCGATTCATGGACACTGAACATCTGTGGTCAGTAGGCTTCATGGGCATTCACAAACCGGCTCAAAGCCACTCTCTAGATCCTGGCTACCATTCAAATCCAGCTCAACCATTCAGACCATGTAACTTGACAGGCCTCAGTTGTCTCATCCATAAAATGGGGATGATAATAGTATCTACCTCATCAATTTGTCATGAAGGCCGAATGAGTAACATACGAGCATAATGTAACAGACACTTACAGCAGTGTCTGGCCCGGAGCACCACTACCCAAACATTAGCGAGTGTACTAACATCTTATCCATTGTAACAGACAGTGATCCCAGGGCTCTGGTGTTTGTGACCTTGTGGAATCTCCTCCCTTCCAGTGTACGCTGGCCTAGTGATCTACTTCTAACCACAGAAATGTGACAAAGGTAATGGGCTCTCACTTCTGAGATCAGGTGACATGAGGCTGACTTCCATCGTACTAACAGGCTCTATCACCGGCTTTGAGGAAGCAAACAGCCAATTGTGAAGGCCCACAAGGCAAGAACTGAGGGCAGCCTCCAGCAAAGAGCCAGCTAGGACCTGAAGCCCACAACCCAAAAGCCCTCGAGGAAGTGAAACCTACTCACAACCACCTAAGTAAATTAGGAAATAGATCCTTTCCCGGTTGAGCCTTCAGATGAAACCCCAACTCTAGCAGACACCTTGACAGCAGCCTGCCAGAGGTCCTAAAGCAGAGCACCTAGCTTAGCCATGCTGACTCCTGACCACAGAAACCGTGAGATAAGAAATGTGCGTTGTTGGGACACCTGGGTGGCTCTGCGGTTTAGTGACTGCCTTCGGCTCAGGGCATGATCTCAGATCCAGGGATCGAGTCCCACATCGGGCTCCCTGTGAGGACCCTGCTTCTCCTTCTATGTCTCTCTCTGTGTCTCTCATGAATACATAAATAAAATCTTATTTTTAAAAAATGTACATTCTTTTAAGTTGCTATGTTTTGTGGTAATTTGTTATCAAGTGATACCTGATACACCTAGAAAGAAGGAATAAAAAGGAAATGACCAACAAAAACACATCAGTAAAAGATTATAAATGTCTCTTGTCATCCAGAACTAAAAGGGAGCATACTTTTAACACAATATAATAAAGGAATCTTTACCATGAGACTCAAGAATTCTAGATACGACCATTCCCAATAACTGTCACCCATTTTTTCTATAAACCTGGATAGTTTACTCATTAGCAACTAATTAGTAATTTACTCATTACTGAAGAGTAAATTATTATTACTGCCTGCTTAGTAATATAGTAAATACTCTTTCTTACTATGTTATTACTCAGTAACTACTATTAACAACCACTGAGAGTAACAAGCCTGATGAAGTGAAGTCAGGCATCAATCAGCATGCATTCACTTGACATCTCTGTACCAACACGTACTGTGTGTACCGGGCACTCTTCTAGGCCTTCGAGGTAAGCAAAACAGACCAACTCCTGCTCTCAGGGAGCTGACATTCTGGTGGTTATTCTGCTACCAAGCGGTCCCACGTGGACCCACACACACACTCCAGTGCACTCTCACATGATGGTGAAAACAACTCTAGGATGGATCCACCTGAATTCAAGAGCGAGCACAGAAGCACCTGGCAAATTCAAACAAAGAGCCTGCAGGAGAGAACACCCATCAATGAACCCATTTTGGGGAATCCAGTCACCGCGCCCCAGAGGGTGGGAAAATCAGGACAGAATCCAGTACTCCCTAGGCCATCCTGGTTCCTGAAAAATCTAGGCCTAACGTCATACCTTACACATCTCCTGCTTAAGACTCAGTCACTTTGTTCCACGTGGCTACTAAATGCAAACCAACGCCTTGGTCTGTTATTAAATGACAAACAGCGTGTTAAGGAAACTCTGTCAATGAGAGACATGAATTCTCAAAGGTCATGTCATTTTCCAGCTATGTACTGACTGTAGAATCAAAGGCCTCAGAGTAAGATGCAGTGCATTCAAGATTTCTCTGCTTAGATTCAATAGTTAGACGCAGATGGAAGAATTTGGACTTGGAGATCCTCAGGAAAAACAGGATCTCCCCTCCTGAGCACCCCATAAAGCCTGTGAGGTCGTGATCCTCCTGGCTCCCAACAGGAAGTCGGTCCTCTGGCAGGACACGCCCCTAGCCCCCAGCCCGGCACCACAGCACTCACTTTACTAGTGTACTTGGCAATGTCCGCAGCGACGTCGGCGGAGGCAGTGGCGATAGGCAGGTCTGCGTTGACTGAGGATGCGAGGGTGCTTGCAGACCCCGAGCTGGTGACCAGGGGTGATGACTGAGTGCTGGTCACCAGGGTGATGGTGGAAGTGGATGGACTCTGCGTGATCTCCTTCTGCTGCACAGCTAGGAAAGCAAAGGGTCCCGGTCACCCCACTGCTGTGGGAAGGGCCCAACCCAGCAAGAAGCTGCGGAGAGGGAGTGAGGTCCCTGACGTCCATTGCTTAAGCTCTTCTACTTTCAAGTGACAGAGATTCTGCTCGTGACCAGATTCTGGCCAGGATCCTCTCAAGCCTTTTCTGGGACTAGGCCTCAAGCTTGGCCCATAAAACCTTCCGTAAACACTAACATGGTTTCCAACAGCTCAAGTTCACATCTCTAGGATGACTCCAGTCCCCGCTGCCAAAGTACCTGCCTGAGAAACCAAGGCTGCCAAGTGAATTTAGCATTTGTTCTAGCCAACACTCGACGACCCCTGTCTCCTGGTCTCTATGGGATGGTAGGAGTCTAACTCCAAAAAGCATTATTAGCAACCCCGTACGGGTTTCACATGAACCAACCACTACTTCCCATTTTTTGTAAAATTTCACCTCCCTGACTCTACTGGAGTCTCTACGCAGTCCCTTCCCACCCTCACCACACTCATCCTCCTTTTAAAACGCCCAGTCACTTCTGTACAAATTGGGAATGACTTCAGTTCCTGCTGGACTACTTTCTCCCTGTTGTAATAGTACATACTGATTACAACCCATCCTTACCAGGTTAACTAGTATCCAGCTTTGTCTTTGACACAAGACAACTTGGAAACTGGGGACCATACCATCAATGGGCCTCTTCTTGCTAGCACCTAAATTCCCCTGGAGAAGCTCCTAATTTTTACCGGGTACGAACACACACCAAAAAAAAGACTGGAACTAGGATTCAATCCTGTCCCATCAGCTCTTTAAATACCGAGAGCAATCCAGCTGCACTCCCACTGCACCTGTCCAATCTTCCTTCCCTCCAGTCTTCAAAAGGGTTCTTAGGGGCTGTTCGAGACCTGGCTACCTTTCGACCCATATCCTGCTGCAACTCTTTACAGTTCTACTCACTAGGATGCACTCAGTATGTGAGAGTTTCAACCAAAGACCCCAACCTCCAAGGATCTAGATGTGGGCTTCCCTGCGAGACAAGATCTGCATTAGCGCTCACGAAAGCTGGGCCAACTGGTACTCATCCAAGCAATGCCAGATGGAGCCTCCGGGGGGTGGTTTTGACTCCACAACTTCGCCAACTGGTGCTTGATGCTGGCTCTTCTTCTGTAGGTGGCTAATCTCTAGTTATCAAGGTACCCTTTGCTACCAATTCCTCACACCATACTCTTCCCAAAATAATGCCAAGAGGTTCATGGGTGTGCACAAGAAAATTTACACAAAGGTATTCATTGCAGCACTGCTTACAACAGAAAAAAAAAAAAAAAAACTGGGAGCAACCTAAATGCCCATCAGTAGGGGAATACTTGATTTAAATCAACTGTGGAATACTATGCAGCAGTCCAAAATAACATAGATAGAGCTATATGTGCTAACATGGATGAACTTCCAAAACATGCTGATGGGTGGGAAAAAAAAAAGAAAAAAAGAAGAAAAAAAAAGTATGGTACCATTTGTGTGTTTTAAAAAAAGGAAAAAGAAAAAAAAGTACTATTTTTATGAAGAGTCATATATACATAAATATATATGCATACATGCATAAAAAAGGTTTCACGGTTAACAGTGGCCACTGAGAAAGGGTGAAGAATGGAATGGAAGTTCGGTCAAGACAACAGATTGTGGGGCAAATATTTTACCCCTCTCTAAGAAGCCTATATGCATGTATTGTTTCTAACACAGAGGGGAAAAAAAATAAAAGTGAAAAAAAGTCGCAAAACAACTTTTAAAAATAATGCCACATGGAATGCGCGAGGCCTTCAAGATACAAAGGCCATGAAACAAAAAAGAACTGAAAAAAAAAGAAAAGAAGAAAAAAAGAAAAACATTTCTGTCTCTCCTGTCGATGTGGCGAGGAGGGAGTGGGCGCCACGTTGAACAGAAGGGGGCATGGTACCTTTCACAGCCTGTCTGGTCTGATATCTCGTCCCCTGGGTAGACTGAGGCTGCTGGCTCTGCTGCTGGCTCTGCTGCTGGCGCTGTATCTTCTGCATGTGCCACTTTTGGGAAGACGTTTGAAACTTACTTGACGAGTTCCACACGACCCGCTGCACGGCCGGGGCAGTCTCCTTCGGTAAAAGCGGCCTCTGCTTTTTCACCGGGCTTCCTGTGGCGGCGGCAGTGGCGGCAGCGGCGGTGGCGGCCGGGGCCGTGACCGTGGACGTGGTGCTGGTGGTGGCCGTGACACCAGCCGTGGGTGTTTGGGAGGAGGAGCGGGTGAGGAGCGGAGTTTCAGGTGGGGACTGGCTGCCTGCCGTAGTGGACGGTGGAGCTTTGCCTACAACTAAAGCTGATGCGTGGTAGGGGGAGGAAAAACAGAAGAGAAGAGATTGGACTCAGGTTCACCTGCGGGGTTTCTCTTCTCCAGCACGTTCTGGGTTAAACAAAGCAAGGCCAACCAAGAATGCTGAACAAATTCAGTGTGGGAGGACCCCACCCCCCGATGGAGGAGCACATCTCACCTTATCCACAGAGGCCACTGCTGCATATCTATCTCAGAGTGTCGGCCTCTTCTCGCCCACATCGGAGGCTCCTATAGGGGCCTTTGGGGCAAATGAGGCAAACTAGACCCAGCCCCTGCCCTCAAGCTGTCCACCAGTGAGTGGATGAATAGAACCACCACAAGCTGTCTTGTGTTACGGTTAGAACTGGGTAAGCACTTTGTGAAACATCCGGCCAAAGTCGACCCAGAGATTAAGAGAATCCTTTTGGCTAAAGAACCTATAGAGCCTGTAACCCTAAGTATCAGGTAACTTCCCAAGGGCCAAAGCACTGGAAACATGAAGTCACCCAGAAGGAGAGTCTCCCTTGACCTCTGACTCCCTCCAGGACTAAGTCCCAGTGTGCTCTTAATGGCCTTGACCCCTGGGACTAAAGGGAATTCCACTCCATAGCCAGAACCTTCCCAACACCATGGTATTTATCTCTCTCTAAGGAGACTTGCTTCTTTGTTGCTTTGATGTTGTTTTATAATGTTTTTTTTTCCACTTTAATTCCAGTCAAGTTAACATACTGTGTTCTATTTGTTGCAGGTGTACAATATCGTGATTCGACAATTCTGCATGTTACTTAGTGTTCATCATGGGAAGCATACGCCCTGCTTTTAATTCTGATTATGTTTATTCCCACTGCCACCTTTTATCAGGCAATAACTGGTGTGATGGTCAAATCTACATCTAAAATGAGCTTTAAAAGCATAGTTTATTTTAGAGTAGCTTTAAATAAAAATACGAAGTCAATGATTATACAAAGCAAGACTTGGGAAGGGCAAAAATAATGAATGTAAATGACAAGTTTGGAAAAGGCTGCCTTCCGGGAGTCTATCTTCTGGGAGGGGGGGCTGTGAGGGAGGGGCAGGATTTCAACAGGAAGTGAGAGAGAATTTGGAGGGTGACTGCGTCAGCCAAGACGTGTCCAGGAGCAGCCAGCATTTTGGTCAGTGAGAGCAGGCAGTGAGGAGTGGCAGGAAGGCGGGTTAGAGCCAGAAGCACTGAGCAGCACAGAAGGGGTGGCCCCCTTGTGCTCATTTGTAAAGGGGGGTCCGTTATCACCACCGAGGTCCTAGCCACCAGTGGAGCAGGTCTGCCCCCGAGAGAGGATGCCCAGGGATCACACACAAAACACAGGTACAAGTCAGCACCCCCAACTTATTAGACAATGTACCTTGACATAAGTGCCTTTCAGATTTATGTAACCCAGAAAAGACATGACCTTGATTATTCCAGGAAGGATATTCAGTACCCTGGGTTTTAGGAAGTCAAGGAGAGTGACAGGAAAAAAAGAAAGGGCGGGGGGTGGGGTGGGAGCTGACTTTCCTGACTCAGGAGGCCAGGGGGTGCAGGGAGCTTCCTTGGTGGTCGTCCCATCTGTCTGGCTCTCCTCCGCCTTCCTGCTCCTCTGGAGAGGAAGGAAGAGCCCAGCCAAGTTCATAAGTGGAGCCGGAAAGGGAGGGAGCTCTTCACACAGTGAGGAACCCTGATCCTTTGCCGGGATGACTTTGCATGCTGGATACTGGATACAGCCCCTGTACCTTCCAGGAGGAAAGGGGGCTCTGAACCCAGGTTTTCTAAGAGCCGTGCACCAGGGCAGTCCCCTGGTGAAGCTTCTAACCTGCAGAGAAGCACCTTCCATGCCTCCCTTTCCTTCCAGGTGATAAATATATATATATCATTACTGTTGAGAAGCTAACCTAGCCCCTCTCTCCTCAAAGGACAACCACAAATAGGTCCTTTTCTTTCTACTGATTTGCAGAAGCAAAGAGTAACTTTGTGGGTGGGCTGCTGCTCTGCAGTGGTGATGGCTGGCCCTCTGTTCCAAATAAAAAACTGTGGAGTGTGCAATCCAAAAAAAGATTCTAGGCTCAAAGTACCCTTTGGGGTTACCAATTAGATACTAAAATATTTTGATTTCTAGAAGATTCTAACGGTTTACTGGGGGAAGTGGGGGTGGGGGGGTAGGAAATTCCCTTTGTCCCAGAAATTTTGAGGGTATAATCAAACCGAGAGCCCAAAAAAAAAAAAAAATAAAATAAAATAAAAAAAAATAATAATTAAAAAAAAAAAAAAAACGAGAGCCCAGAAAAGGGTGAATCTCTTCAAGGCCAACACTCGAGAAGCTGCCCCTACTTAATTAACCTACTTATTCTAGTACCTGAAGGGGGGTCTTTCTAAGAGAAAGATGGAAATTACCGGTGTTGTAAGGGAAGCACAGCGGGGTCTCTAAGGAAGCCTCCCTTTGCCTCTATTCTGAGATCACCAACTAGAAAGCAATTTTGCTACCTTTTGCCTATTCTACATATAAGCAGCATTCCTGGCTAAAGGTGAGCTGAAGGTCACCGTGGCACACTGTAATATGCCCTTTACCTAATAAACTTGAAAGTGAAAATACACCATTGAAAAAAATGCTCTAGGGATGCCTGGGTAGCTCAGTGATCCTGGAGTCCTGGGATCAGTGCCACATCGGCCTCCCTGCATGGAGCCTGCTTCTCTCTCTACCTGTGTCTCTGCCTCTCCTCTCTCTGTGTGTCTCTCATGAATAAATAAATAAAATCTTAAAAAAAAAAAAAAAGAAAAGAAAAGAAAAAATGCTCTACTGCAGAGTCTGATACAAAGCCAATTCTTCAAGACCGAAACTACCATCAAACGGCTCTAGATTTAAGACTGGTAGGTCTTTGTTCCAACCTCTGGGACGACACCCTAACTGAATCATATTTTAGAATCATCTTCAGCTTAATTACATCCACCACTCACTTGGGATCCCCTGGACATATTTCTTTCAAACATCAGTGCAAGGAAGAGCTGTGTTTCATTTAATCAACTGGGTTTCCCCTCCTCCCCAACTTTTTGGAAAAATAAGAGACCTTTTAAGGGACTAAAGTATTTCCCTTTTTGCTTTGACTGCTAGGAAGCTCACAGCCAACATGAAAGCTCAATTTTGCCAATCCTAAAGGCTGGAACCTATTCCTGTGCCTAAACTTTCCCAGAACCTCCTACTATTCTACTTTTATCTTTTACAGACTTTGTTTTCATTTTGTCTCATGATTAAACCTTCTTGTCAGTCTGTTACAGACTCTTTCTGGAAGGGGAAGAGGCATAAAATCAATCCATCAAAAGCTATGTTTCAGAAAATAAGGAAGATTATAGCTATATCATTCACAGGAGCACTGCCATTTTTATACCCAAATATTCCCATAAACCACATGGAATAAATAGCACTCCCTGATTATTTTCTGCCACATTTGCCTCAAACCCCAATCCACACATCATCAGAATTTTTAGAGACTACCCATAAACTCTAAGGTGACTCAGGAATGGAATGGCATTCTATCCTTCCTGCCCACAGTCAACTGCTTCTCTTTCTCCCTCCACTGCACCATTCAGGCACATTTCATTCCATCCTCACTGACAAACTGCAAGAATTTTCTCTCCCTAACAACTGAGGTTCCATGGCAGTCCAGGCTGACAAGGACACAGAAGAAAGATTCTCGAGGCCCATCCCCAACTTCCTGTAAGCAGCCAGATTCAGAAATCCCCAGGGGGGCACAGAATCACATCTTACTCAAGAGTTGGGTTGAGAAATCAGCTCCCCTCAAAAGTCGGGCATGGTCAGAAATTGAGCCTGCTTTTCCCTGATGGTACTCACAAACTACATAAAATTTTACAGCCATGACCTCCAGTTTGTCCTTAGGCAACATTTTTCCTAGGCCCTCAATTAATTCTGCATTATCTTTCTTGCATACGTTGGAATCCCCTCATACCCATTTGCCAAACCAATGGAAAAAAGGTGCGGATTGCTTTGTCCACGGGAAGGACACCCTTCACATCATTCACACATTCCATCTGGAAGGTTTGCCAAGAGGCCTGGGCCACGCAGGCTTCCAGGCAGCTACTGTTGGTTCAATCTGTAACAGCAGCAATGGGGGTACCACTCGGATCAGGCACTGGTTCTCAGCCAGCGGAGATTCTGCTTCTCAGGGAACAAAAGGGAATGGCAAGACATCCTTGACTGCCACAACTGGGCAGATGCTACTGGCATCCAGTGGGCAGAGGCTCAGGATGCTGTTAAACATGCTCCATTGTAGAGGATAAAATACCACTCAGCATAAAACATCAATAGAGCCAGGGCTGAGAAATCCTGGACTCGGGTCCATGAAACACATAGACGTTGGAACACCAATTCAGGTGCCCCCCATCCAATGCTTCCTCCATGTCTACTGCCCCAAGGAGCACTCAGCATTCTGGGACCACCTCCCCAAATACTCTCCTATTCCAGTAAGAAAAGGCACTGGTGAGGTGTCTGGGCAGCATGAAAGGAAGCTGAACTCATCAAGATCTTTGACCCGCACTCTTCTAACAATTTCAACTGTGTCACAGGTCTAAATGTTGACACTTTAGGGAAGTGAGTGAGCCTGTTGGGAGAACAGATGCTTCAGCTAAAAATGACCTGACTGCCGGAAACACCTACCACTTTTTATTTTTCTGGGCTCAAAATCAACCATAATGGGATGAGTACTAAGCAGATGATAGGCAGGCAGGCCTGGGGCGGGTAGGGGGCTGGAGGGGAGGGGGTCAGTCCTGGGCCTGATCAGTGACTTAGCTAGGTGACCTTGAGCCAATCAAGGCTGTGTTCTGGTGCCACCCTTTGTGACATCAGAGGGTCACGTACCTTCTGGGAATACAAACACAAGGTGGCACTCTAAACTAAATCAAGAAACCAGAAAGTGGTGCAATCACTTACCATCCTGCTTGGGAGATGTTTCTTTGGGTTCCTTCTTATTTTTACGACCCTCCCGCCCAGAATGGTCTTCTCCTAAATCTATGACAAGTTCACTTTCTGAATCGGAGTCCAGGCCCAAATGTACTGTTGGGGAATCGGTCTCATCTTTCCCCTTCAGTTTATCCTTTGTGGGATGAGGGGAGGCTTTCGCTTTTTCTGAAAAGTCCTTCTCAGGCTGGGGGCTTGCCTTTTCCTTGACTGAGCACGGATCTGCTTTCTCGCTGGCTGGTGATGTGCTTTTCAGCTCCTCCTTAGTCTCCACTGGGTTGGCCAGTTTGGGCTTTTTTTTGACAGCCGATGGCTCTTTGTCCATCCGACTACCCTCTTTGTCCTCTGCGTCTTCTGGCTCATTCTTGGACTTCTGCTCATCATCACTGATATACTCACTATCGCTACTATCAGACTTCTCAGAATCTTCCGAATCGCTGTGCTCTACGGCCGTGTAAACATCTTCCGAGATTTCATTTATGCCTAAATTCAAAGAGAAAACCCAGCATGTGGCGTAGTCACAAAATAAAGAGCAGGACCCAAAATGCAAACATTTTCCACGCCAAATGCTGGAATAAAAAAAAAAAAAAAAAAAAAAAAAAACATTTCAAATCGCATCACACTGGCCTGGTAGGGTTACCGGTGAGCTGCTGATAAATGCAACTTGGGTTTGCAGAGGGTTTCAGTTACTGACATTCAAAAATGGCATGGGACCAGACAACATAAATTTTAAATTTATCCAGAGCTATGTGTTTGCTTCACTGATAACTACTTAGGATGTAGAGAATGGGAGGAAGGGAAGGGAACAACAGAGATGAGCTGTTAAAATGGATCCATTATACAGATCAGAAAATAGAGGCCCAGAGAAATCACCTATCCTAGGACATAAAGAAAACCAAGACAGAGGCAAGGCCAGAACCCTGGGTTCCTCACAGACCACCAGTGCTCTTCCCACGAATTCCCAAAGCATTCAAGTCCTTTTCCCATTATGGCCAGGGCTCAAAGAAATAAGCCAAAGCCTTACAAAGCAGAGGCTGCCAACTCACAGCCCACAAGCCACATCTGGCCAGCACACACATGTTATTTAGGAAGCAACAGTTTGGCTCAGTAGATACTTTGTTGTTTGTTTTTCACTTACAATAAACGTATTGCCCAATTCACAAATCAGGAAACTTCACACAGAAATCAAGACAGGGTGCTTGTATGGAAAAGAGCAGAGGATCCAGCCACTCTGGGTCATAGGCCTGCAAGGCAGTGGCTGGCTAGAGCCACAAAGCCACTGGCCGCTTCCATTTCCAGCTGACCTGGGTGACCAGCCCACCCTCCTGCTCTGTGCTGGTCCAGAGGTGAATTGCCATCTTATCCACCCTGTTCTTCCACGGACAGTGGAGTCAAGAGCAAAGTCACACATTTCCACATCTCTATCAACAGACAGACAAAATGACTTTGTAGCAGGTGTTACACACACACACACACACACACACACACTCTCTCTCTCTCTCACACACACACACACACACACAAATGGGCAAAAGCATACTCCGTTTAACCCATTTATGTATCCTGCTCCCAGCAGCGAGTGTCATCTGGCTGCAGATAAATAAATACTATATCCTAAAATTTTCAAGTAAGAAAAACCCAATCCCAATCTATACTATCTTCATTCTAGAATAATGGCCATGAGTGGGGTCACTGTCCTGATCCAGAAATATTAAAAGGAAACCTGCAAACAGATAAAAGCCATGAGCAGCCTACCAGAATCATTACATAATTATATGCCTCTACCAGGGCTCAATCAAAACCAGAAGAAGCCAAAATACAAAAACTCAGATCCGATATGACTTTTGGGTCCCTAAGGCTTACTGTAGTTAACAGTCAGACACAAGGCCAAGTGTGACCACATATATGATAAGTAAAGCTTGGGTACCAGAGCCCAAAAAACATGAATTCAAATCCTGCTCTTGGACTTTGATTCACTGTGTGACTCTGACCTAGTGACTGTGGTCTCTGAGCCTTAGTTCCTTCATCTGCATAATGGGATGGATAATGGCATCAACCTCTAAGGACAATCTATGCACCGTGCAAGGTATGCAGGAAACAGCCGGTAAACAGAAATATTAAAATTCTTATTAACATGAATAATAAATCGAGGAGTCAGATCAGCTGCACAGAAGGACCCAAGGCACAAATTTAAATGGCCTGCAAAATTTCAACCATGGCATTCAGTGTCCTAACCAAACAAAAATCCAACAAGGAATGTCCTCCTCTGGCCCTTCTAGATGACTCCTAACTATAGCTTACTCATCCCACGGTCCAAAGTACCCACAGACACTGTAAACCTCACCCACCCTTGTGTGGCTCTCTTTCCTGAGGCCAGCCATCCCCTACTTCTATGCAAATACCGTCCTGGCATTGTTTACTTAAGTCAACCAATATTCCAGAGAATCTGCTATGTACACAAGATCAAGTAAGTACCTTGGAGAATGTATATGCTTATAAGGCAACCTTCCTGCCCTCAAGGAGCTTCCAGTCTCGCTTTCAGGCTAGAGGGACACCCCCACACAAAGAGACCGCTGATGCTTCCAAGCAATAAAGTGCCATAGGAGGCAGCAGATGGGGAGGTAAGGGCAATCAGAGGAGACTTCCTGGAAGAGGCGATGCCTGAGCTCAGCCTTAGGGAAAGGATTCAGGTAGGCAGTGTGAAGGCAGGCAGCACTGGGAAGAGGAAGGGAGGCAACAGGTATAGAAGCAGGATGCGTGTGCCAGGTGGGAAGGGTTCAGCCTGCAGCAGAAGAGTTTGTGTTGGGCATTTGTGGGCCGGACTTGATCCTGAGGGGAAGACACTGATGTGTCCTGACCAGGAGCACAGGGGCAAACTCAGGAGGATCTTTCTTTCCCTTTTCAAACACCCGTACTACCTCCACCTGGAGTCTGCAGGTGGCCACAACCAGAGAATAAGCTGGGTGGGATTCAAAGAACCCCTCTGAGCCACTGACCAGTAAACCTGAAACATCCCAACACGAGTGGAACTCTATTTTATTTGCACAAACAGGGCCAAGGTCAAGCAGCTGCTAACAGCAGCCCACGATCCAACTCTGGCTTCATCCGGGCGGTGACCCTACAAAGAGTTAACAGTGAGGATGGTGACGACAGTGCCTGTGCGAGCAAACCAAAGGACATACCTAATTGTGCTTTACAACTCTCTATGGTCTTGTCCAGATTCAGCTGGAACCTGCTGCGGATCTGGCGCTTGGGCGAGATGAGGGGGACGGGCGCTGTCTGCTGCTGGACTGACTCGCTTAGCTCCTTCAGGTCCATCTCGGCCTTGCTCCGATCTGGAAGACACAATGACACCCTTGTCAGATGGATACCAGACGGAGGCAACCCCCCTCATCACTTCGCCTCCTTCCTGCAAACACACACATTAGAACACAGTGGCGGGAGGAAAACCTCTAACCTTCTTCCAATTTGCCCCAAGAGCATCATCTGCTGGCCGATGGGCTGACTTGGGAGATAATGGTCCCAGAACACATCTGGCAGATTTACCCCATCTACTCCAACAGTCGCCTGGGTAGCTTTCAATATTTAAAATGCACAATCCCAGCCAGATGGTTGTCTGTGGAACTCCACATCATTAGGGAGCTCAGGAGCCAAAGGTAACGGTGAGATTGTCTCGGTATCAGCAGATAAAGTCACACCGAGTCTGGCCAGAGTGTACTTTTCACGCCAGGCCCAGATCAGAAAGGGTGTGCATCCCCGCACCCGCCCCATAACTGAGGGCCCAGTTCCCCAGTCATCACAGAGACTTCACTTTTCATTCCTAGTCAACTAGACTGGACCTCAAGTCAGAAAAGGAAGACAAATGTCAGAGGCAGACCACTCTCGCCAAGCTGTTGGCCTTCCTTTCAACTCAGGCATCCATCTGAATTAAAGTCGGGTGAATGGACTGGCTGTGGATATTAAACCTGTATCTTCTCACTCGGATACCGTCGGTCCAAGTTCCTCTCCCTGATCCCAGGCAAAGTACTCTGACGGAGGACTCAGGGCCTGGGGTCTGGCCACCCTCCCCATTTCTGCCACAGATCCTTAAATGACCAAGCGGACCAAGGGTCTGTGACCTCACATTGCTTGAATTCCTTCCCCACTTCCTCTAATACCCCCGAAAATGGAAGAAAGTGACAAAATGAAGGTGGCTGTACAGGCCCAGAAAAAAATGGGAGACTTCGCAGGCAGAGCCTGCCACCCTCTGGTGTCCCCTCCCCGCCCCCAATCTCCAACTGACCCGAAGCAGAGAATGCGAGGCACATTCCCTGCCCCGGCTGATCCCAGAAAAACAACTGGAAAGCCGTGTGGCATCCATCAAGGACAAAGACGAGAAGTGCCCTCTGAGCCTGCTGCTACCATGTGGGAGCTGACCCTCAGACTTCCTCCATCTCCCTAATAACCCCACCCCAACATTGCACCTATGCCCACCACAGGCTGTGCAAGGGGCCCAGGGTATAATCTGAGGCCTGGACTATGAGGACTGCTCAAACCCTTCATTCTCTGCTCATTTCTATTTCCCAACATGACCCCCACACCCTCCCCTTCACCCAGGAATGGGGCAGGTTCTCACCCTGCACGCCTAGAGACTCATTCCTTTAAAGCAACTGGGGGGAGGGGGGGAGGGGCAGCTTCCCATAAGACCCAGGCAACCTACCCACAGCTAGCTTAACCAGAGCAAAAAACTGCTCCAAGTTGATTTTATCACCAAAATGAGGTCCCCACCAAGGTAAGATTAGGAAGGGCCCTTTCCCAAAAACATACTCCAGGGCACTCCTCAGGGAAATTCTGGAAGTGAGTTGCTCAAAGCCAACGGATACCAACCTTCTCCTGTGAAAAAGGGCTCTAAGACTCTAAAAATCATATCCACCTCTGAGCACATGTATACATGTGTGTGAGTACCTGTGTGCATGTGTTTGTACAGGGTTGGAGGTGCTCACAGAGGAGACAGGCTAAAGGCACACACTTCAGAGCAGGGGAGGGGGTGTGCATGCAAATTTATTGGAGAAGTGCCTTACAAAGAGAACACACAGAGTGAAAACAGTAATAAAACAGCAAGAGGGAAAAGGAGGAGGGAGGGCTACGGAAACAGAAACAAAAAAGAAAGATCCAACTCAAGAGCCGTATGAGGACTTAAGATTTCAATAGCTAAGCTGAGGATGTGACAGGAAAGGGGGAAGGAGATGAAGCCTGTCTTAAACTTCTGCTTTCAGAAATGAGAAAGCAGGCTGCATTCCTAGGGGAATAGGCAGCCTTTCAAGGACAAAGTCCAAGAAAGAAATATCTCACAAAACTACTTCCCATCACTAATCTCAATAATGTCTAATCACAGCAGTTACCAAAAGAAAACAAAACACTGGGGATCCATGGGTAGCTCAGCGGTTTAGCAACTGCCTTCGGCCCAGGACCTGATCCTGGAGTCGCGGGATCGAGTCCCACATTGGGCTCCTTGCATGGAGCCTGCTCCTCCCTCTGCATGTGTCTCTGCCGCTCTCTTTCTGTGTGTCTCTCATGAATAAATATATAAAATCTTTGAAAAAGGAAAGAAAGGAAAGGAAAGAAAGGAAAGAAAGGAAAGGAAGGAAGGAAGAGGAAAGAAGAAGGAAAGAAGAAGAAAGAAAGAAAGAAAGAAAGAAAGAAAGAAAGAAAGAAAGAAAGAAAGAACAAAACAAAACACTATCTACTCTACCAGGCATCAGCAAACTTCCTGTAAAATGCCAGAGATTAAATCAGGCTCTGCGGGCCATAAACAGGTTGCCAAAGTGACCAGAAACAATACATAAACTGATGACACTGTTCCAATAAAACTTTATTTACAGAAAGAGGTGGGGGGCCAGATTTGGTCCAAAGACCATAAAATATGTCATCCCCATTTGTAGTGCACAGACTATTAATTTCGGCTTCACAATGAAATCATCTATAGAGCTTTAAACAAAAAGATCCTAATGCCTGGGTCCCGATCTCCCACCTCCACCCCTGCCCTCCAGAGAATATGAATTAACTAGCCTGGGGGAAGGTTGGACACTGGCCCTTTAAATGGGGTGCCTGTCTGGCTCAGTTAGTTGAGCATGTGACTCTTGATCTCAAGGTCATGAATTTAAGCCTCACACTGGACATGGAGCCTACCTTAAAAAAAAAAAAAATTTAGTAATAATAAGATTTTTTTTAAAAAGTACCCCAGATGATTCTAACTGGCAACTATAAGGCTGAGAGAACCCCTGTATTAGTCTAATATTCTAAGTGGGTGAAGAAAACTCCTGGAGCCCCTGGGTGGCTCGTTTGGTTAAGCTTCCAACTCTTGATTTTGGCTCAGGTCATGATCTCAGGGTTGTGAGATCGAGCCTTCCAACTGGATCCACGTTCAGCAGAGCCTATCTCTCTCGCTCTCTCACTCTCTGTCTCTGCATCTCTCTCTCCTGCTCATGCTCACTTTTTCTCTCATCCTCTCTCTAAAATATATAAATTGTTAAGGGGGCAAAAAAAAAAAAAAAAAAAAAACCCTCCTCCTGATTTGCCATAACCTTTGTCTGTGTTAACCTTCCAAAACTAGGGCTCATAAAAAGAGACCTATGTCTCACCAGAATATTCGTGTGTGTGTGAGTAGCCGTGTGTCTACAGTAAATGCAATCTCTTCACTTTGGCCTAAAAAGACTGAACTCTGAAATACTCATAATCAAAAGGAATGAAAAGAAGGTAAAACACCTCATTATATAGTTAAAGTTTCTCTAGTCAATAAACTACAGCAATGTTTATTCTAACAAGCAACCACCAAAAACTGGGGTGGGGGCTCTGGGATCAGGTCCCAGCCTTCAGGAGTTCAGCCAAATCTAATTAACTTTCTTGCATTTTCAGCTGCAATTTGACTTCTCCTCCCTTCCACAGAGAGAAAAGAAGAACTTCTCTTTCTCATTCAGCTGGTAGTAGCTTATCAGGACTTCTTCCACCCCTGCCCTTCTATATCGGGAATATCTTCAGAATCCACCTTTACTGCCGACATTTTCAACTTTTCAGCTGATAGGAAGACAGCTTAGGCTATAAATGGAAACTAGAGAGAAAAAAATACCAATGCTAGAGAAAAAGACACGATCTTACATTTCTGGAGGGAGCATAAATCAGAACCGTCCCTTCAGAGGACAATTTGGCAGTATCGCTCAAAATGTCAACCGCACATGGCCTCTGACCAGAGAGACTCTACTTCTAGGAATTCATCCTATGGCTACACTCCCACATGGGCAAAACGGGTCTTCACTGCAGCTGTTTCCAACAGCAAAACCACCTAGAGCCAATAAATAAGGTGCCTGGGCAAAGAAGTCAACACTTCACCTTGCAATGGAATAAAATACAGCTGCTAAAATAAAACCGCAGTGGATTTTTTTTCCCCCACAGTGGATCTTTATGTGTTGCTCTGGAAAAGCCAAACTGTTTAATGAAAAAAGGTGATAATCAGTTGAACACATTAGCATTGGTGTGGGGGAGGGAAAAAGGAAATGGAACATAGATATGAATATATGTGTTCTTAGATTTCTCAGTGTTGGCACTATTGATATCTGGGGCTGGATAAGTCTTTGTTGTGGGGGAGGGGGTGTCCTGGAGGTAGGCAGCTCCAGCCTGTCATGTGCATTGTAGGATGCTCAGCACCAGGTGCCAGCAGCACCCATATTCCAGTTGTGACCATAAAAGTGTCTCTAGGGGCACACCTGGCTGGCTCAGTCAGTGGAGCATGCCATTATTGGGTATAGAGATTACTTAAAAATAACACCTTGAGGGATCCCTGGGTGGCACAGCGGTTTAGCGCCTGCCTTTGGCCCAGGGCACGATCCTGGAGACCCGGGATCGAATCCCACGTCGAGCTCCCGGGGCATGGAGCCTGCTTCTCCCTCTGCCTGTGTCTCTGCCTCTCTCTCTCTCTGTGACTATCATAAATAAATAAAAATTAAAAAAAAATAATAATAACACCTTGAGGGATCCCTGGGTGGCTCAGTGGTTTAGCACCTGCCTTTGGCCCAGGGTGTGATCCTGTGGTCCTGGGATCAAGTCCCACAACAGGCTCCCTGCAGGGAGCCTGCTTCTCCCTCCGCCTGTGTCTCTGTCCCTCTCTATCTCTGTGTCTCTCATGAATAAATAAAATCTTTGGGATCCCTGGGTGGCGCAGCGGTTTGGCGCTTGCCTTTGGCCCAGGGCGCGATCCTGGAGACCCGGGATCGAATCCCACGTCGGGCTCCCAGTGCGTGGAGCCTGCTTCTCCCTCTGCCTATGTCTCTGCCTCTCTCTCTCTCACTGTGTGACTATCATA